GCTGTGCACGCTAGTCTCCGTCCTGAGTTCTCTGCTCTGGACAGTTTTGTGTTAGAGTCAGTACGATGCCAGATACATAGGAGTTACTTCACATCATTATGAGTAGGTTTAACTAGAATTTTAAATGTCTCAACTAAGTCAGTCGTCAATATGGTCACTATAATAAAGTTCAGTTTAGTACTTTAGTACTCAGTCAATCAGTCCGATTCTTTGCAGCCTCATGAACTGCAGCACGCCAGGCCTCCCTGTCCACCACCAACTCCCGGAGTTTACTCAAACTCATCTCCTTCGAGATGGTGATGCCATTCAACCATCTCATCCTCTGTTGTCCCCTTCTCCTCCCGCCTTCAATCTTTCCCAGCATCAGGATCTTTTCCAGTGAGTCAGTTCTTCGCATCAGGTGGCTAAAGTATTGGAGCTTCAACTCCAGTATTCAGAACTGAATTCCTTTTGGATGGACCAGTTGGATCTCCTTGCAGTCCAAGGGACTCTCAAGAGTCTTCTCCAATACCACAGTTCAAAAGCATCAATTCTTCTGTGCTCAGCTTTCTTTATAGTCCGACTCTCACATCCATACGTGACTACTGGAAAATCCATAGCCTCGACTAGATGGACGTTTGTTGGCAAAGTAATGTCTCTTCTTTTTAATATGCTGTCTATGTTGGTCATAGCTTTTCTTCCAAAGAGCAAACATCTTTTAATTTCATGGCTGCAATCACCATCTGCAGTGATTTTGGAACCCAAGAAAATAAAGTCTGTCACTGTTTCCATTGTTTCCCCATCTATTTGCCGTAAAGTTATGGCACTGAAAGCTGTGATCTTGGTGTTTTGAATGTTGAGTTTTAAGCCAACTTCTTCGCTCTGCTTTAATTTTCATTAAGAGGCTCTTCAGTTCCCTTTTGCTTTCTGCTGTAAAGGTGGTGTCATCTGCATATCTGAGATTATTAATATTTCTCCTGGCAAGCTTAATTCCAGCTTGTGTTTCATCTAGCCTGGCATTTTGCATGATGTATTCTGCATATAAATTAAAAGAGCAGAGTGACAATATACAGCCTTGACATACTCCTTTCCTAATTTGGAACCAGTCCATTGTTCCATGTCCAGTTCTAACTGTTGCTTCTTGACCTGCATACAGGTTTCTCAGAAGGCAGGTAAGGTGGTCTGGTATTCGCATCTCTTGAAGAACTTTCCACAGTTTGTTGTGATCCACACAGACAAATGCTGTAGTGTAGTCGATGAAGCTGAAGTAGATGATTTTCTGGAACTCTCGCTTTTTCGATGATCCAGCAGATGTTGGCAGTTTGATCTCTGGTTCCTCTGCTTTTTCTAAATTCAGCTTGAACATCTGGAAGTTCTCAGTTCATGTACTGTTGGAGCCTGGCTTGAAGAATTTTGAGCATTACTTTGCTAGCATGTGAGATGAATGCAATTGTGCGGTAGTTTGCGCATTCTTTGGCATTGCCTTTCTTTGGGATTGGAATGAAAACTGACCTTTTCCAGTCATGTGGCCATTGCTGAGTTTTCCAGATTTGCTGGCATATTGATTGCAGCACTTTCACAGCATCATCTTTTAGGATTTGAAGTAGCTCAGCTGGAATTCCATCGCCTCCACTAGCTTTGTTCATAGTTATGCTTCCTAAGGCCCACTTGACTTCAGGCTTCAGGATGTCTGGCTCTAGTTGAGTGATGATACCATCATGGTTATCTGGGTCATGAAGATCTTTTTTGTATAGTTCATAATAAAGTAGTCAGTATAATAAGGACAGCACATTTTTTCCCAGGAAGTAATTTATCATTGTATTGATTCACTTTAGTCACTTAGCATTTTAATTCAAAAGCACTTTTATAGCCACTACCTTTTTTGTTTTTAATTGAAGTTATTTTGAGATAACTAATTTCAAATGTAGTTGTAAGAGATAACAGAGACCCCGGGGACCCCTGACTCAGTTCTCCCCGCTGATGACATCTGACGAAGCTGAGTGCAGTGTTGCACCCAGGATGCAGACCTTGATGCCGTCAGGATACAGGACATCTCCAGCATCCCAAGGATCCCTCTTGTTGCCCTTTTATAACCATACCCACTCTCTGCCTTCCACCCGACCCTGTCCTGAACCCCTGGCAGCTGCTCATCCGTTCTCCATTTCTATAGTGTTAGCATTTTAAGACTTTATGGAAATGGAATCATGCAGCATGTGTATTTTGAGACTGGCTTTTTTTCACTCAGCATAACTCTTTAGCAGGCCCATCCGGGTTGTTGTATGAATCAGCAGTTTGTTCCTTTTTTCTTGCCAAGTAGTATTCTGTGATGCGGATGTAGCATAGTTTATGTATTCGCTCCCTGAAGGGCATCTGGGTTGTGTCCAGTTTTTGACTGTTCTGAGTGAAGCTTCCATATGGAATGAAGCTTCCGTAAACACACCTACACAGGTTTTTGTGTCAACATGTCTTCACTTCTCCGGGATCAGTGCCCAGGAGTACAGTTGCTGGCTTGCATGGCACTTCCACAGTTAGTTTTAAAGACCTGGTCAAACTGCTTGCAGAGCGGCTGTACCGTTTTGCATTCCCACCAGCCGTGAATGAGGGGTCCAGTTTCTCTGTATCCTTCCCAGCGTTTGATGTGGTCAGTGTGTTTTGTTTTAGCCATTCTGATAGGTGTGGAGTCACATCTCGTGTTTCTAACTTGCATTTCCTTGATGGGTAATGATTTTGAGTATCTTTCATGTGCTCTTTGGCCGTCTGTGTGTCCTCTTTGGTGAAATGTCTGTTCTTTTGTCCATTTTCTAACTTGATTGTTTGCTTTTTTGCTGTTGATGTCTGGGAGTTTTTACACCTTGGGTCCTAATCCTTTGCCAGGTCTGTGATTTGAATGCACATCCTCTCGCTGTCTAGTTTGTCTTCCATGCTGTCAGCAGGGTGTTTTGCCCATGAGCAGTTTTTGACGGTGACAGAGCCCATTTATCAGTTTTTCCTTCAACTGATCGTGCTTTTGGTGTCAAATCAGAACTGTTTATTTACCTGACCGTAAATCCCAAGGACTCTCTTCTAGGTTTTTTTCCCCTAGAAGTTTTATGGTTTTATGTTTTAGATTTAAGTCCATGGTCCGTTTCAGGGTAGTTTCTGTGTAAGATGTGAGACTCGGGTCAGGGCTCCGTTCTGCCCATGTGTCCAGTTGGTTTTATGTTTTACATTTAAGCCCACGGTCTGTTTCAGGGTAGTTTCTGTATAAGATGAGACTCGGGTCAGGGCTCCGTTCTTCCTGTGTGTCCAGGTGCTGCAGTGCTGTGTGTTGGAAGTCTGCATCTCCCCCGCTGGCTTGCCGTAGCACCTTTGTCAGAAATCAGGTGGGTGTATTTGTGAGGAGGACCTGGGTTCTCTGCTCTGTCTCCTGGGTGTGTGTCCACCCTGCCCTGACCACACCATCCCGAGTGCTAGCGCTCTGTGGTAAGTCCTGAGATCTGGTAGCCTGATGCTTCTCGCTAATTTCTTCTTTTTCAAAATGTTTCAGCCATGCTAGATCCTGTGCTTTTCTGTATAAGTTTTAGGACAGTCTTGCCCACATCTACAAACCATTTGGCACTGTGGTAGGAATTGTATTAAACCTGTGTATAAATTTGGGGAGAATTGACATCTTTACTGTGTTAATCTTGCAGTTGATGGACAGGGTTTGACTCTCTCTTTGTAGACTTCCTTTGATTTATTTTATCCATGCTGTGTAGTTTTCAGTACACAAGTTCTATATGTATTTTGTTAGGTTTACGAATAGTACTTCTCTTTTCTGAGCGATTACAGATGGCAGTGTATTTTAAATTTTGGCAGCCATGTGTTCATTGCCAGCAAATAGAAACAGTGATTTTTGTATGTTTATCTTGCATCCCACAACCTTGCAGAACTCACTCACTAGTTCTGTGAGCTTTGCCTTTTGTTTGTGGACCTATTTGTTTAGTGCTTCTGTGTGCCAGGCATTGTGTTAAGGCTTTCCATGTGTTTGCTAAAGGCCAGAACACAGTGGAGCTCAGATCTTGACTCAAAAATCTCTTACTCACTTCATACGTTCATTTAGCAGGCATTTAAGGAGCACTTACATGGACCAGACACAGGTTCCTGCCCTCTGGGGTCTTGGTCTGAAACCGGATTAGAAGTGACATGAGCAGTTATGTGTCACTTCGTTACACAAGTTTAGAAATAAAAGAAGTCCTATCAGTTATAACTTAATGCATCTGACTCATGCTGTCCGTGGGTAAAGCAGGGGCATGTAGTCCACCTGTGTGGAGTGCGAGCATTTGGTGAGGGGCGGGGGGGGGGTTCCTGAAGAGTGTTGATTTCCCCAGGAAAGGTCCCCAAGCCAAAGTACCTGTTGGTTCTTGAGACTCAGAGATGTCAGTGGTAAACTCTCATACGAAGAGAATCCTAGGTATTGCTTGTGTCAAAGAGCCCAAGAACCCCTGGCCAGAACCGAGTGAAGCTCCCCGGCCGCCTCCCTCCTCCCGTGCTTCCGCAGTGGCCGTGTGACCCGCTCTCCCGCCGACCCTGCCCCGGGGCCCCAGGCTGGCCAGCCCAGGGCAGCGGGCCTGGGCCTCACTGCTGCCCCTTGGTGGCCCGGCCACACCCTCCGTCCGCACACTCTGGCTCCTCCCTCTGCGGTGGTCCTCCCCTCCCCTCCCCTCCTCTGCTGGGCGGGTTGCCTTCCGCTGGCCGGGCAGGTGGGGCTGCAGCCCTGTGAAGTGGGGAGGTGGGGCCCTCAGGGAGTGACATGCACCCCCGGGCCTCCTTTCCTTTGGGGACCGTCCTCTGTGTCCCTGCCTGAGCTCTTGTAACAAGAACAGCTGTAGGTTTCCGGTCAGTTGGGAGGTGAAGATCTTTCTGTACCGGCCCTCATGGGGCGCTGCTGGCCGAGCCGCGGGGTCACGGGCATGAAGCCCTGTCTAAAGGCCGGTGGGTCCCGCGCCCATGCCCTCTGGCTCAGGAGTGAGCGTGCTCCTCTCCCTTCACACTCCTCCCAGGAGAAGCTGCTCGTCTTCGAGTCGGCCTGGAAGAAGGAGAAGGACATCGTCTCCAAGGAGATAGAGAAGCTCCGGGTGTCCATCCAGACCCTGTGCCGGAGCGCCCTCCCCCTGGGCAAGATCATGGACTACATCCAGGAGGACGTGGATGCCATGCAGAATGAGCTGCAGCTGTGGCACAGCGAAAGCCAGCAGCATGCCGAGGCCCTGCAGCTGGAGCAGAGGTGGGGGGGTGGGGGAGGGAGGGGGAAACACAGCCCAGGGCAGCCAGAGGAGACCCTGCAGCAGGAGCAGAGGTGGGGGGGGGCGGGGGAGGGTGGGGGAGGGAGGGGGAAACACAGCCCAGGGCAGCCAGAGGAGACCCTGCAGCAGGATCAGAGGTGGGGGGGTGGGGGAGGGTGGGGGAGGGAGGGGGAAACACAGCCCAGGGCAGCCAGAGGAGACCCTGCAGCAGGAGCAGAGGTGGGGGGGGGCGGGGGAGGGTGGGGGAGGGAGGGGGAAACACAGCCCAGGGCAGCCAGTGGAGACCCTGCAGCAGGATCAGAGGGGGGGGGGGGGCGGGGGAGGGTGGGGGAGGGAGGGGGAAACACAGCCCAGGGCAGCCAGTGGAGACCCTGCAGCAGGAGCAGAGGTGGGGGGGGGAGGGTGGGGGAGGGAGGGGGAAACACAGCCCAGGGCAGCCAGTGGAGACCCTGCAGCAGGAGCAGAGGTGGGGGGGGGGGGAGGGTGGGGGAGGGAGGGGGAAACACAGCCCAGGGCAGCCAGAGGAGACCCTGCAGCAGGATCAGAGGTGGGGGGGGGCGGGGGAGGGTGGGGGAGGGAGGGGGAAACACAGCCCAGGGCAGCCAGTGGAGACCCTGCAGCAGGAGCAGAGGTGGGGGGGGGGGGAGGGTGGGGGAGGGAGGGGGAAACACAGCCCAGGGCAGCCAGAGGAGACCCTGCAGCAGGATCAGAGGTGGGGGGGGGCGGGGGAGGGTGGGGGAGGGAGGGGGAAACACAGCCCAGGGCAGCCAGTGGAGACCCTGCAGCAGGAGCAGAGGTGGGGGGGGGGAGGGTGGGGGAGGGAGGGGGAAACACAGCCCAGGGCAGCCAGAGGAGACCCTGCAGCAGGAGCAGAGGTGGGGGGGGGGTGGGGGAGGGTGGGGGAGGGAGGGGGAAACACAGCCCAGGGCAGCCAGAGGAGACCCTGCAGCAGGAGCAGAGGTGGGGGGGGGTGGGGGAGGGAGGGGGAAACACAGCCCAGGGGGAGGCCTCTGGAGAACCGAGCCCTCTCAACCCTCTTTCATACATCCTCCCCCAAGGAAAGTACATTGCTTCTTCATTCACAGCATAATGTGCATTTCTCCGTAGCAGCTAGAAAAGAGCTGCTCTTGGTGTTCAGAAACCCGAGATTTAGACATTCAGAAGACAGGAAACTTTGCAGTTTGGATATTTATCCAAAGACACATATTTATCATGTGTCTTATCAAAATCCCCAAAGTTTTGTGACTGTAATTTGAAAGTATTTTAAATTTTTTACTTGAGAAAAGTACATTTATATTTTTATCCTTTTTGAAATTATTTTCCCCCTTTGGATACAATGAGTAATTTACTTTTGTTACCTCCCATTGTTTTAATTAAGAAGCTAGTGTAGAGACTTCCCTGGTGGTCCAGTGGTTAAGACGCCACACTCCCAACTCAGGGGCCCTGGGTTCAGTCCCCAGTCGGGGAACTAAGATCCCCGCATGCTGCACGACAAAAATGCAGCCAAAAAGAAAAGCATCAGATGGGAAAGGAGAGAGGTCCTCATGAGCCCCGGCTTGTGTCCCGGCAGCATCACGGACAGCGCCGTGGAGCCCCTGAAGGCGGAGCTGGCGGAGCTGGAGCAGCTGGTCAGGGACCAGCAGGACAAGATCTGTGCCGTGAAGGCCAACATCCTGAGGAACGAGGAGAAGATCCAGAAGATGGTGTACAGCATCAACCTGAGTTCCAGGAGGTGAGGGCTCAAAGCTGCAGAGACTCCAGGGGGTCCCTCAACTTGGACATAAGGAGGAGGCTGGCACTTCGCTTCCCGTGCGAGGTTTCAGTCTGAAGGCAGCGGTGAGCAGCTCACAATGTCATCCTCCTGGTTTTCAGAGCTTTACCATCTTAGGCACGTTTGGTTTAGGAGAGACCGTGTTTCCCTGCCTTCCTCCACTGGAAACTTGCTAGTTATAAACGGCTCTTGCAGACGCCGCCAGTGTGAGATGTTTCTCTGCAAGCCTGGTCTCTGCCGTCGGCTCTTGGGTTCTGTGCCAGTCTGTCCAGTGGGCGAGCGGTGCTGGGACTGCCCGGGACATGGGAGTCTGAGATGGCCAACTCCAAGCCTGCTGACAGGACTGCTGGAGCCCCGAGTGAAGGCTGGCTGCACATTTTGACAGGAGCCTTATAAATGCAGTGAGGCCTGAAAAGCAGACTTATATTTTTAGCTCACTCCCACTTGCAAAGAGTTCATTTCAGCCCGTGTCTTTATAAAGTACCCACGAACTCTAGTTTTTAACCTCTCTGTCATTGCGTGTACCTTAACGCAATTTTCTTTTTGCTCCCTATTATGTTTTGCTTATTTTTCCAACCCCTAAAGTTCATACATTTTAAAAGGAGATTTGACTGCGGCCTTTGGGGGCATCGTCTGACCTGAGATTGTCATAGGCCGCATCCTCACTTTCTTCAACATCGAGCCCCTGGGCTTCCCTGCGAGCATATCAGTGCAGCTGCGGGATCCCTCATCCTCTCTAGAAGCTAAGCTTGCTTTTCAAGCCAACGGCTCAGGCCTGTTCCTTTGCCCAGGTGTAAGCACCTGTGCACCTCAGAGACAGGTGGTTAGGAAAAACCTCCAGAAGGAAGACTTAAAAGGATGCACAGATTTGCAAAATTTTTTGATGTTACCATTTTTTTAGAAATTTTTTTTAAAGCAAAAGTTGTTTTTTTTTAAACACAGTTTATATTTAGTTTTTCACTACATATAATATTGTAAATACTGAAGTCTTACATTTGTGTATAAAGGATTTCACTGTTTGGAGACATACTTACGGGTCTTAAAGTCTGGGTCCTGACACTTGTATTCTACATACTGTTATTTATGATGTAACCCAAGCGGTGTCATTTTAAATGTTAGAATTTCCTCAGCGAGTTTTGTTTCTTTAAAAGATTAGCACAGTTAAGTTTTTCCTTAGTGTAATTTCCAAAATAAATCTGTTACAAAGGTCATTCTATGATTTTTGAAGTGAAGTTCAAGATTGGATTATTAAGATGTGCCATTGTGAAACATTGGTCTTTCTCTCCTTTCTGTAGTTAGCCATAAAATTCTGTCTGCTGAGATGACACTAAATATCAACATGTCACTGGCGGAGGGGAGGGGTACCAGTTACCCAGGTCTTCCTCTGTCCACGGTCTCTCTTCCACTGACTCAAGTGACAGCCACCACCCCAAAGGGACCCTGTTTTGGGTCAGGTTAAGAAGCCTGCCTTTTATGAATTTGTATGTAAGACTAGCGTTTTTGTGTTGCAAAAAAATCGCATACGTTGTATGTGAGTCAAATTTTGTATGAAATAGTCTCTCAAATTGTATCATAAAATTTATTTTTCTTTTATACATAAATCATTAAAAATAATCACCTGTTTTTTTCTATCAGTGTATGGGGTTGTGCAGTTCAGTTCACACCTGGAAAAAAGCATTTGGATTTTTAAAACTTCAGCGTGTGTGCAGTTTATTTTTCTGTGAAGACAGTTCAGGGAAATTTATATTTTCACTCACAACACCCCTTTTCTGTATAAATTGGAGTCTTACATAAGGCAGGTAAACACTTTTCAGGAATTTTAAGATCATTCATGAAGTCCTAGGAAGTCACTGCATGTGGTTATGACTGTACCACGACACAGATGAATAAATCCTGTTATCTATGATTTCGATAAAATATGCAAATAGGATTATTAAATGTTTTCCTCTGCTTTGGCGTGTTAAGTTTTCCGGAAGCACTGGAGTCATACTTTAGATGTTTTAATTAAAAACAATTGAGCTGATTGAACTGACACATTTATATTTAAAGGAAATACAGCAACCTTTGAAAGAATAACTTGGAGACTAAAATTCTCCAAAGCTTTCTGCTTTGATATTCATACTGATTTTTCTTCTCAATAAGCAACTTGGAAACTAGTAACTGGAATCTAGGAAGAGAGGTGGTGGTCTTTAGTGACAGTGTAAGTGGAGTTGGGGGCTTGGGGGGTCTGGAGTCCTCAGTCTGTCGACAGGTGCCCCTGGAGTGTTCTTGGACTACTTCTCCAAGCTGCCCTGAACTGGCCGGGTTGTGTCTTCTGCTGACGTGCGCAGCGTGGGGGGCACTCGAGTGAGAGGAGGGGTGGCCAGACCTCTCCCGCTTTTGAATAAACAGCGTGGTGTCCCCAGGCACAGGCTTAGTGTGACCAACCCGCTTGAGCTCCCACAAAAACCAGGTTCAGAATGAGACTGCCTTTGGATGTGTCTTCCCTGAAAGTTTATAAAAACAATCAAAAAAGGGATAAAGATATTCGGTTTCTCCTTTTTCCTAAAAAAAAAAACAAGAATGACATTGCCCATAGGACCCTGTGCTCAGGCGGCCCACCCTGAAGGGTTTCCGCACAGACTGGACTCCCCTCCCAGCCCTAGGGTCGTCCACCCACTCGCAGGGAGACAGAGTCAGGTCGCCTCATTCCTCATGGCCCCCTGCATCCTCCGCCCTGCCAGGAGCCCACGGGCCAGAAAAGCAGGTATGTGAGACAGGAGGAAGCCCCCAGCGCGTCTACTCCCTGAGCGAGCTCACCTCCGTCCCATGATGCTCTTTATTAATAAAAAGGCTGCGTGTTTTTCTAAAAAGTGTCTTGGCAAGCACAGTTTAACACAGGCTTTACTGGCGGGTGGAAGGAAGCTCCTGAAAGAATCCCTTTCTGGTTATGTGTGTTTCCATGGATGGAAGTTGAAGAGGACCTTGTTTTTTTTAATTCATTGACAGAAATGATATTTAAATGGCTTTTGAAGCTATAAAAACTAGTGTTTAAGTCCATATTTAGAACAGAGTTCCAGATTGATTATCAGCTTCTTAAACCGAGCAAGTTGGTCTTTCTGGTAAGAAGATGGGGTTCAGAGACTTGCCTGGTGGTCCAGTGGTTAGGACTCCATGGTTTCACTGCCGGGGGCCCAGGTACAATCCTGGGTGGAGAAACCAAGATCCCACAAGCTGGCTGCAGGCAGATAAAGAGAGCAAATGGGGTGCAGAAGAAAGTTAAGGCTGTAATCACAGAAGGCCGTACCGGCCAGCAAGGAGGAGTCGGCTTTGAGGACCAGCGTGCACCCCTCAGGCAAGGTTCCACGTCTGCTTCCCGGCGACCACTGCTGCCAGCGAGGCAGGGCAGTTTGGAGCACTCTGCAGCACCGGTTCTCAGCCACACGTTGTTGGTTAACTCACAGCATCCGCCCTGTTCCTCGGTGCACTCTTGGATTCGCCATCCAATGCTCAGAAAAAGCTTTCAGCATTGTCACTGTGAGGCAGCAGACCAAAAAGGCGCATCTCTGCCCTTTACCGTCCTCATCAAGGCCGGCCCTGACCCTGGAGAACAGGCAGCAGCCGCAGGCCTCCCTTGCTGGGTCCTGGCCTGAACACGGGCGGGGCTGGTTCCTGGGTCTGGCTCTGGACTGTACACAGAAAGGCCTCCAGCAGACCCGAAGATGGAAGGTTGGGCCTGGAGACTGACTTGCTCCCATCACTAGTCTCTGTCGGGCCTGTGGGTCATACCACAGTGTCTCGAAGCTCAGGCAAGGCTCCTCATGGACAGCAAAGGGCAGATGGGCCAGTCGTTGAAGCCGGGGGTGGCCTGCCGGCCGGGGGTGCATCTCACTAGCCACCGGGGTTATGGCCGGGATGTGCCCCCCTCCCCCTGTGGCTCCTGGACCTTTCCCCTAGCTGCTGACTGGCGGAGAAGGACCGGGGTGCACCATGCCGGGGAGTGCAGGTCCTGCTCCCAGCCGGACCCCGCCTCTCCGGGTGAATTCTGCCCTCGTCAAGGTGTCTCCTCTGCTCAGACTCTTCTTTCCCCTGAACCCCACAGGCGAGGCAGGCAACTTGGTGGGAAGGAGGCCCGGGGTCTGGGGAGAGCTCGGGACTTTGGGTCTGTGTGACCTGAATGCCTCCCATCCCACCCCTGAGCTCAGATGCCAGGACAGGGTCACCAGCCCCTCTGCATCAAGGGCTTCTCAAGAGTACTGGCTCACACGGGGCTCCTGCCCACCCCTCCATCCTGCAGGGTAGCTGGGCCCCATCCTCAGCTTGGCAGCGGGCCCTGCGTCTCCTTCCCGCCCCGTGGAGCGAATGTGCCCCCGACGCACGTTAAGCGGGACTGCTCCCTCTCCCGTGTGTGGAGTGCCGGCTGCGTGAGAGACCAGAACCGTGCTGAGAGCTGAGGCGAGTCCTGCCCAAGCCTCCGCCCGAGGACACACAGGGCTGGATACCACAGACACGTCTTTGCCTCGGCCTGTGGCCGCTGGGGGGCCTTGAGCCTCCTTGCTGCTGGTGACGAGGAGGGAGGTGGTCCCAAAGCCGAGCGTGGGGCCCTGCGGGGCTGAGGGTTCTCCGTAAAGTGCATCAAGCCCTCTGGCCTGGGCAGGCAGCAGCCAGCACCCTGAGCAGACGCTGGCAACCCTGCCTGGTGGACAGACAGATGGGGCCGGGCGGGCACAGGTCTCCCCAGGGCCTAGCTGTCCTCCTGGTCCTAGCCATGGAGCGTGGAGGGACGGGAGCAGGCAAGGGAGGGTGCCCGCCCCCCAACCCAGGACGGGAGGCTGCGGACTGGACCCTTGGGTACCTCTGCCCGGAGAAGGGGCCGCGGAGGTGGGCCTGGGCGCACCACAGGGCGGGGCCCGAGAGCAGGCAAGTCTGCGTGCTGGGTGGGTGCAGCCCTCGGGGACACACGCCGACCTTTCTCCCCAGTCTAAA